TGTTTAACGTGACTTTACTCGTCTGAAATTCATTTTTCATCATTCGTCAGTAAGGCTAATAAAAAAAATTATTTATTCTTTATCGTACACACACATAGAGAAAAAAAAAAACAGTGATAAAATAATTGTAATGTACAAGTGTGAGCTTATCCCTAAAAGAGATAAAGAGCTTATTACATGTTACACTACAAAAACATTTTTGAGTTAGTTAAGATATAATATAACTTTAGTAATAAACAATATTATGGTTATATTCACAAAATTAACTTAAATAAATGTCCAAACTAAAATATAGTTGCCAGTATTACGAGTTTGTTCTACTAATTTTCAATAAGTACTAATAAATATTTTGATGTTTGTTACTAAATTTCGTAGTGTATTCATCTAACTTTTTCTCAATGTACCTACCAGTTCATGGTCAATCAATATTTATATCTTTAATTTAAACAAAGTAATTATAGATAGCTAGTAGATATATGTATATGTATACCTTTTTAAATAATAGCCTAGTACATCATCTAGCCGCAAATAGCTTAGTTTGCGGGTAGATGATGCTGCATAGCTTGTATTACAGGTACTAAACAACTGACAGAAATACATAGATATTTTTTACATAATCTACCTAGAAAACGTCCAGATCAATAAAAACAATCATGGATATAAATGTTTGCATCGTGCATGGAATCGAACCCGCAACGATCTCTAATGCTGTATGCTAAACCGTTGGACCACAAAATCGTTTTTTATTTAATAATAAAAATAAAATCGTATTTTGATAAAGTATCAAGAATATTGCGCCGCATTAGAAGAAGAAATCTAATTTTTGTGGAGTTTTTCTCTTATTCCGGGAGCCCCCAGCGGGCGTTCCTCACCCGCCAATTTGTGTATGTTTGTGAAAAATTTATTTTAAACTGTTTTATAAACAACGATTGCCTTTAAACAATCGTTACGTTTCTCTAATTTATTTATTATTATAAGAGGTTGTTATTATCTGTGCTATTTTTTATCTACTATTTACGAATATCTACAAAAATATATGAGACATTAAATTAGATCATGATAAAAGTAGTCGAGTACTATTAAATCAATAAAAATAAAAAAATATTACAATAAAAATAATAATAACCGGCGGTCCATCCGTAATGCTGAGAACTGTGTAAGTTTTATATATATTAAAATAATATATACACTATGTCACGCTAGAATAATGTACCTTTTAAATTATGAAAGAATTTCTCAAATCGGTACAGAGGATCCTAAATTTATCGATCTTCATAACAAAATTAGCTCTCATTTTCTATCTAGTACTTACAGATCGAATATAATATCATAATTTTAATCAAAAATATATATATGTAAATATATTTACATATTGTATTGGGCATTCCTATTTTAATTGTAATTAGTATGTTTTGTAACTTTATTATTAGTTCTGTGACTCACTCAACACTTCCTAATCCATGCTGTATTGGGTTGACTGGAAGAGATCTATTTTAGAGATAAGTCCTCCTTTACTAATAAAATTACTAATTTGTATTTGAACTCTTGTATTTAAAAGTGCAATAAAGAATATTTAAGAAACAAAAAGTTAATATTACAATACCTCTAGCGTTGTCTGTCACAAAACTTTTTTACGTGCAAACTTCCAAAAAACCTTTGCACAGACGTAATCAAATATTCACAACGGAATAACGCAAGCGCAGGTGTCTGGAAAAAACAGTATTTTTACGAGCACTAAGAAAGTTTTCTAATAATGCCGCCGGTTGCGGGCGTTTGCCACTAATTGCGAAATAAATTTACAAGTTTTCGCCAAAAAACATCGCCGCGGCGTAACTTACAACCGGCAAAAAAGAGGTACGAGAGAAGAAATGTCGCCGGGACGCAGTTAACTCTGCCCCGTGTAGCAGACAACGCTAACTTTTATCTCCTCGTGAAAAAAAATTAACTCATAACTTTATTAATATTCTCTACTTTTTAATTACAAGTCAGTAATGGTTTTTATTAAATTATAAATAAAGTCAATTTCCAGTGTATTCTCGGACAAGTTTTTTCTGTTATTATTATAAAGAGTTATGGTTTACTCTGACATAAAGTCCAACTGGTAATGAGTTCCAATGTAACAAAACATACATATAATTTGTGCGACAATTTATATTTTTCTCTAACTCTCCGGCAATCGTAACACTAACAAATAACTTTAGTTTCAAGTTAACACAAAAGGCAGCGGTAAGCTCACTTCTACCTTTGCAATGCCATTATATTGTTGTGAAAGAAGCCTAGAAATTTCTAAGTGGCCAAAATTGAATAAATCATTGATTTCAAGTTGTTCAGAACGTATAGATATATTTTTATGTAATTTCACACAAAGTTGGAGTAACTTAAAGAATTTCTTAATTGTCACTTGAAAAGATCTCTTATTAAGATCAATGATGTTAAAAAAAATACGATTCGAAATTAGTGCTTATTTTAAAAAAATAAGCTCATAAATTAATATTACTTCCAATAACTTAAGCACGACGTCTAGAAAAGAAAGACTACGGGACACCGTTTCCAAACCTATTAAGTTTAAAAGCCTTTCGGTCATTAAACCACTTTTTTTAAATGTCCTCGCCCCGGACAATTTTTCCTCCCTTCTTGGACACTTTTCATAATTACCGCGGTCCCTCCCTGCGCTCTCACCCCCTTTACTTGTTACAAGATGTTACAGTCGAACTCGTTTAAAAAAACAATTTCATTATCTCTGCTACCCTTTTTTATTAAAAAAATACTTGGCAAAACTTATTTCCAGCCAGACATTCCATTTGAAAAAAAAACAAAAAAGTAACTCTAAGCGACTATAAAATACTCGACAATGCTTTTGCAGTTTCGTACATCATTAAAAGCATTTTTAAAACAATATTTATAACAGAGAGGCCGACACACAAAAAGTAAGAACACGCTGAATTGATTTACTATGGCGAAAAAGAAAAAAAGAATTTAAAAAGTTTCAGTACAGTCACGTACAGCGAAGCAAAAATTTAAAAAAGGAACATAGGAGTAACACATGTCCCGGACGAGAGGCGAACGTCAAAATCGTCTCAATTTCGAACGTAAGAACAATTGCAATTTGAATTTTAAATTTGGAACGCGCTTATTTTCGGAGTATTTTTTCGAAAAGCGGCACTATAATAAATCTCAATGCAATAACGATAAATTCATTGCGGATCGACATGCAAATGTTGTGTGTGAGATTTTTTTCGATCAAGCACTTTACTTCGGACGAAAAATTCGTAGAGCTAATCTCTAAACAGTTTTATTTTTATATATTATTTATTACTTTTTATTATAATATTTGTCGAAGGTGTTTAGATTTATAATTTCATTAATTTTATATTTAAAAAGATGTAAGTCCGAGTAATACAGTTTACAATACCAGCAAGATTTTATAGCAATGCAAAAATATAATAGTTTTATTCGTAACTGGAATAGCAAACAAACTGACCTCCCCTCTGATGGTAAGTGAGAGCATGCTTCTAAATTCCATAAAACAAAAGCTGACGATAACGTTTTAAAAGTCTATCTCGGTATGGACTCATATAGACTATGAACAAGCACACAAATTATCTATTTATATATAACATTACGTATTTCGTTAGCCTGGATTAGTCTTTTCTTATCTAATATCATATAAAGAATAAACAAAATTTCTCTCCATAGATTCTATGTCCCGTAACCTCAAAAGATCAAGTACTCGATTCCGATTGTACAGTTTTTATTTTGGCCGACTGTACTTTCCCGTTCCACGTCCGATGATTCGCTTTATTTTTTCAACCACCTGTGTTTCCCTTCTTTTTATTTTTCGCTTTTTAAGCGTCTATCTCATACTAATGTTATAAAAAGGTAAGATTTAATTTTTTATTGTAATGTATAAACTGAAAATTTAAATGTAATAAGACATATTTTAATGTATTTTTTATGCCATAATGACTGTATAGAGAATAGAAACATTGACTTATGCATTATTTGTGGATGGAGAAGAATATAGCCTATTTTTTTAATTTATTTATTTTTAAATTTCAGAGATCATTAAAAAAAATTTCATCAATATAATATATCTCCATATAACTTCTGTAACTAAATAAACAAACGGAAAAGAAAACGGGATAAATTATTGAATGTCATAAATGTAAATATCCTATATAAAGAAAAGTAACACGAATATTTCATGTTTAGATATGATATTGTTAAGTATTGCCAGAAAAAAAACATGTACAAAATGTGCAGATGTTCAAAATGTAGGTACTGTGCAATTGCTTCCTGGATCATACGGAACCCGTACACCACCTTTTATGCAGATGGCGCGATCAGTTCGCGAAGAAAAAAAAATAATCGCCAACGATTCTCGATTAAATAAATTGTTAACACGCCCCAAGCGTTTTATCATCTATGATAAGTAAAGCTAACCATAGAGAAAGAGGATATTTTATAGGTTCCCTTCCTGTTACGTAAAAATTCTCAGCCTTACAACTGTTTCCTTTGCCACCCGCAGCTAGATCGATAAAATCAACTAGTACTAAAAATTGTTGAAAAAGAGTTGTTGGTAGAATGAGGACGAAATCGCTATTAAAAATAAAAATGAAAACTCACCTTAATATTAAAAATACGAGTAATTGGTTAATAACCAATACCCCATTTATTATGGAAACAGTGCTTTGGCGAATGTGTTTTAAGTAATAGAAAAAATGTCTAATTTAGATTTAAATTAAGAATTCCATTTTATAAATTATAACGAAATGACCTTTTTAATATGTAATGAATTCTAAATTTGAAATTTAAAAATACATTCTTTATTTAATAAAAGTTTAGTATTCTATTTTTAAAAATATATAATTAATATTTTATTTTTTAATTATTATTTCGGGTTTTTAATTAAAATATTTTCTATTTTCGAACACATGGGCCGCCGCACGTCCCCTACTTTTGGAAGATAACAATACGCATTGAAACAGATGCCAACTCACTCGCTGAAGTGTTGACCAGCATTCTTCTAGAGTTCTCTCACTGATGCTCTGCCCAGATCTTGCTTGTTGCTGCATGAAACAAAACGATTTATTAATACAAATATCACAATATATATTGATAATAAATAATACTATTTAATTTTATGAATACTTGATAAAACATAATATTATACAATGGTTTAATAAAATATTATATTGCATTTCATGTAAGATTATGCTACATAAACATGAAATGGTAGACAATTACACCATAAAGCGAAGAAATACCTAATTGTATTTTATAGACGACCTATATAGTATGATTTTAAAATAAAATCTTTAAATATTCTCATATATTATCAAGTTTCATTTTCTTAAAATTTTGCAGTGAGCTTTATATATTTTAAGATATTAAATAAAAACAAAAACATAAAGCCATAAATATTTAAAGAGAAACATGCGAAAAAGGACCATAAAGAAAACGGAATAAAACTCACTGTTCGATGAAAAAAATTAACGGGCGCAATTACGGAAACTCATTCGATAGTTACTAAAATAAGATCATAAACGAACATTGTATGTTGGGGAAACATTAAATACTCAAGTACTCGGTTCTATGAACTGTTTTAAATCACCATCAGAAGATAATATATAAGTTTTCCTAAAATTGGGACAGTTTAAATATACAAAATGTTGCCGCCATTTTTGTTTTTCATTGTATGTTTGATTACTAGCGACTCGTCCCGGATTCGCACGGATTTTATAAACAAACACAGAATTATAGTTTTATTATTGTCAATTGTTTAATAATAAACCCGTATAATATCACATAATTAATACAATAAAAGTTTAAAAAATATTTTCATCAAAAAGTATCAGTTGAGTTTCTTCTGATCTTTCTCAATTGAAGTAACTAACCGAACTATACGGTCTATAAGACAGTGACAAAAAAAATAATCTATATAGAATGTGTGTTTATGAAGAACAATTTGTATCTATGAAGGTCAGGCTAATAAATTTGTTAGCTAATATACAGCAGCCTAATCATTATATAAAATATAAAAGTTATATAAAATATTTATATATCAATTTGAGTATTTAATTAAATTAGTACTAGTTCGTAGTTTGTATTCACACACTTCATCTTAAAAATGTAAAGCAACAACAAAACAATTTCAAAGACAAAACACGCAAGTTTCTTACTCATTCTTCTTGTGATGAGGAAGCTTTCCAAATGAGCAGTAGATAGAAAAATATGTGATGACTATTCAAAAGAGCTTCAATGCAAGTTTATTTGAATAAATTATATTCTATTCTAAAACGAAATTAGGTAGTAACATTTCACGCAACGTTTTCGAAGTGAGTTTCCATAGTACGAAGCGACAACTAGTGAAGATAAAGTAAAGAAAATAATTACATCAATATTGAGGTTATTCAGGAAATTTACCAATGCGAAAGGCAACATTGCGTTGCGATCGCCAATCGGGCCGTCCCCTGTCGGTGACTGTTGCTGTGGCTGCGTGCAAAAACAAAACGATACTCGCATTATTAGTTTATCGGAAAATCTGTTATACCACAGAGCAATTAACACTAAGTTCTATGAGAGAGAGACCAAAATTGATTCTGTGTAACAATTTGTAATGTAGAAACATTACAAAAGTAAGAAGGTGCACAGTTTCATACAATAATTATTTTGAATTAAAAAATTAATCTATGCCAATAACTAAAAAATGCTTATATCATAGATAAATGTAGTTATTATTTTGTTTTGATACAGTCTGGGCTGTTCGAATTTCAAATAATAATTAAGATAATACGATTTTTTAATTGTTGTGTTTCTTTATTTGAAAATGGAATCAAATATTAGCATGTATGAAAAAGAAAAAATGTAATAATTAAAAATGTAGCATGAAATTTAGAAATGAATAAACAGCTCTAGTAAACATTTTTTCAATAGTGTACATTTATATAATAAAATATTCACTTTACAATTCATCATCTCACATTATTTATGTTTAACTAATTTAGAGGTAATTTCCAATTTTAGATTGTATTTAACTGTAGACTCAATAAATTGTATAATGAATACAAATGTTCTAAAATTAAAGACGAAGTATAAAGAATTTCATTACAGAGCTATATATAATAATAATATATAAATCTCATTTATTATATTCTACATACAGAATAAAAATTGTAATTTCCTATTCATTTAAACATTAAGCAATAAAAAAAAGATTAAGCGACTATTCTATTTCTATTAGAAACATGTAATCTATACAGGTTTATTATAAACAATTAAAATAAAACTTACCCCGTAAAATAAAATCGACTCGAGTTAAAAAAAAACCACTTCGTGCTCATGCAGTTACAAAGTAGTAACTTATAAGAAAATTAGTCACAAGCGCAAAAGAAAATTTGAAAACACATAAAAAACGGACGTTCTTTTTTCGAAATATGTAAAAAAATAAACTTTTTTTTAAATAAAAAGTAAGGCACACGCAATAAAACATGGAAAGTTATAAAATATTATTTACATCGACATTACTGAGTGTGGACAGTAAATTTACCAGCGCAAACGGTACGAGCGATCTCTCGCTCATCGTAGAGTCTGCGGACGGCGATTGCTGCTGCTGTTCCATTCCAGCGCACGGCGCGGCAGGCGTGAAAAAAAGAGACAATTATATGAATTTCAAAGAAAAATCAATTAAATAAACCTAACAAGTAATAATTAATATCTGCATAGTATTTAGAAATAAAATATATGAGAAAGAACTGAAAATTTAAAAATTTTTTTACACACTATATATATGGATAATTAGTTTTAAATTTTATGTTATAAAATATTTAATCAAATTTATACTCATATTATAGAAGTGTGTCTGTTTGTTTGTCTGTTACCATATTTCGACTAAATGGCTGAACGGTCTTAATAAAATTTGGTGTGATAAAAAAAGATAGATTGTGACCACGGTGCAAAAGGACGGCCATAGATATTTTTTATGACAAAACAAATTAGACAAACTGTTATATAATTATATATTTTAAATAAAAGATAACTATAGATAAGCATTAAAATTAAATACTTAAATAGGCATAAAATAAATAAAAAAAATCGATACAAAGATAAAATGGTAAAATGAATGCACTTGGTAAAATGAATACAGAAAAAAAAGAATTATACTCATTATTTTGATAGTAAAATCTTGACTTAACGATATGACCGTAAAAATATTAATAAATCAAATTTTAATTAACCGTTATTTATAAAAAACTTTAACCACAAAAGCGCAACTACTTGGGAACGTTGAACCGTTACATTTCTATTGATAGAAAAAAAATCAAATGAATACGAAACACGAACTCGAACAAACCGGTTCTTTATTCAAACAAAATTTAAAACAAAAAAAAATGAAATGAGAACAGATTCGCAGCAACAAATAACTGTCAACACCCCTTCGTGAAACAATACAAGGCGAAAAAAATTAAAAAAATAATATCACAATGAACGCCCTAATCCGCCGCGCCGTGGGAAATAGACAAATGCAAGGTGAGCGAATCCGAAACTAATTTAAAAAGTAATATTCTTCCTTCTTCTGTTTTTAAAATTTGAATTAAGAACGCATTTTATAATACAGTAGTCTGTGGCGCCGTTTGTTTTCTTTTTATTGAAATGTTAGGCTATTAGTTTTATGACCACGGAAAACATGTCTTGAACAAACAATTTAGAAATTACAGGTCACCGGAAAGGATAAATAAATATTGGTTTCAATAACAGTGAACGTCGGGCGACACGGCACCAATAAAATAATCATAGTCCATATGTTCAAATAAACATTTGTTGTCAATAAGAAAAATAAAGAGTTAAAAATGAGTAAAATCGAAAGCAACGACAAGTTGATCACGGGTTAATACCAATATAATAGAATTATCACAGATTATTGTAATTTACATATGCTTTGTAAAACCGGATGCGACATAAGGACAAAAACGATTTAATAATAAGTTCCGAGTCAAGGCCCTTAACCCTTTCTTACATTAACAAAAGCTTTACAATATGTTGCCTTGGATTCTTAAGACTGTTGTTTTTTATAAAAAAGGGTTCATTCAAATTTGGAACGAGTTTGTGAGTTTGTAATATCTTGAGGTCAGTCGATCATCACTTCTCGGATACGAAGGACGGTTACGTAGTTAAATAAGATAATTGAAAAATTTACAAATATATATATAATATTTTACTAGTGCATTTCAAAATTAAAAAGCCAGATTACAATTTTTTATCAAGTGAATCAAAAATTTAATTTTTTTTTTGTTAATTCACAAAAATATTAATTGAAATAATATTTATTTAATAAAGAAATATTAATTTGTGTTGTTTTGGTTTCAGGTAACTAGTTATTATTAACATGGATTTTCAAATTAAATTCGATACATTCAATAGAATTCTGTTCGTAACTATCCGACGGAACTATGTTTCTATATCGCACTTTTTTTAACTTCGTATTTTTTTTTGTTCTAATTGCGGGAATAAGATATTGTTATTATTTTTCGAATTTTGAAACTCATTTAAATCATTTAAAATAAGAATAAAAAATATTTACTGCCCTAGTTTTATCATCAATGTAAAAAAGTTTTAACTATATAAACTTTAAAAAATCACTCACCTGGATTTCATTTACTAGTTTTTCCGTGATAATCTTGTGATCAGGAGTAGCGGGCGGCTGAGGAGTCGGCGGTGCCGGCCCTGGTTGGCTCTGGCCTTCCACCAGCGGCTCTTGAACGGGAGACGCCGGCCGACTCCTGTTCCAGAAGTCCTGCATCTTAAATCGCTGAGCTTCGGCCGCCTGCTGCAGCGCCGGGATGTGCAGCGAGATAGGCGTCGCGCGGAGATCTAATGCGCTCCCTCCGGCCGAAGCCTCAGAGTTCCCTTCGGCTGCAGTCATCTTAAAGGAGTTCTGAAGCCAACTGGCCACGAAGTTATCCTCCTCTTTGGGAGGCTCCAGCAGCCTCTGGAACGGCGGCGCGGCGCTCGGCTCGAAGGCGCCCTCGCCGCCGACCTGGTCTCCCTCCTCAGCTATTTTCGGTACTTTGGCCTCCCTCGGTGATCCCTCCTCTACCGCTTCCGTCTTCCGATAATCATGGAGGTCCCTGTATCTCTCCTGCAGCGCTAGGGATATGTTCTCATTGAAGTATTTCAACATTAATTCCAGTTTGGGGCGTACCGTCACAACGAATTCATGCGATCTCTCGCCTCGCTAGTGCACTTTCTGTCTGTTTCGTGTCCGGCAATCTGGAAGTGAAGAAGCGCGGTTAGTGGCCACACGCGAACTAAAACTCCGCGGCAAGTTCACTCGTACGCGAAAAGTCACCCCGGAAAAGCTAAGCGAGGCTCGGGTTAGGCGGAAGCGAGACCTTCTTGAGACGCGGGCGGGCGACGACTAACTTCTTGGTGGAAAACTTAACGTCGCGACGCTTTCTTGCGGGGTGGGGAGGACGCGCGCGCCAGCCGAAGACGCCGCTCCAACTAGCAAGACGCGGCGCCGCCCCCGCCGAGCCGGCCGCCTTAGACGTCCTCAAGAACATCCCCACCGACGCCGGGCGCACGCGCCCAGCGTTTTTTCCGCGGAAAAATGCGTCCGGCCAAGGAAAAGACGGCGCGGCCGGCGGCGGGCGACGCTCGTGTGAGCGCCGCGCGCCCCGCGCCGACACCGTCGCCGGACGGCGGCCGCCGGACGCCGGACGCGGCGGCGGACGCTCGGACTACGGCCGCAACAACTATTAAAAAGGGCGCGAAGGACGAGGGTGGTCGCCCCTCTCGCTCGCCTCGACCTCGTTTTCGTCGCACCCCGCCGTGTTAGAACGAGACGAGTAGCGCTCCCCATTTTTTTAATTGAGGGAGGAAATGGAAAAGAATGCGTTTCTTTGTGATTTTTTCTTAATGGTTTTTGTCTCGCTCGCACTTTACAGTTTAGGATGGCGCTGTCTCGCGCGAGTTACCGAAGTATTACTTTCCGTAGACGCCTCTTTTATTATGATATTTTTTTTCTGTTCAGGCGGGGCTTGGATTATGGGGTGTTATCCAACGGCATTTTGATGTGGTTTTACATTTTTTTTCTTACCTACTCTTCGGAAAATGGGATTTGCTAACTTTTTCCTCTTTAGAATTTTTCTTAAATACCTACAAGTATAATGTTTATAAGCAGATACGCCTATCTATGACATATTACTATGAGTTTAAAAGTCCATTTAATAAGCAATGCAGAACAAAAACTTTTTACTTCTCAATTACTTATGAAAACAAAGTAAGAAAACCGAATGTCTATTTATAACTTACAGTTTCAGAGAGCGTTGTTATTACTACCCCTCGAGAGATGGCGTTAGATGTCTTATCCTATCTATTTTGAGCCTATAGACGCCTTGAAATTCTTCATACTATGATAATAAATGAAGTAAATTATTAATAGTAAAATATTAATTTCATGATACATATAAGATAATTATGGTAGCGTTATTATTTTGTAATCAATCGTATAGATAAAAAATCTATTAATGTAATGGTGACTCCATTTATTTCTCTACAATTATATCTTATACTAAGTGTAACAAGTTAGTACACGTTAATAAAACTGTATATGTAGGAAATTAGAATAAAATTTTAGTTTTGAAAGATACCCATTCTTATTGTCACTTTTGATAAGTACTTAGGCATTAAATTCTCTTAATGAGAATAAATATTTAAACCTACAAAAAAAGGTAGTAATTGAAGGCTCTAGTTATGGAAAATATTCATGTTTATATATGCCAACTATGCGATACAATATTATATATCTACTTAGTAGATTAAAAATATAAATTTTAGTATATTATTTTGCTTATTGTATCCTGACTGTATAAGAAATCTAGCCAACAGATACCTATAGGTATGTATATGTATGGTAGGTATATGTTGACCAGATTTCTTATAGCTTTATATTATCTATGAATTATTTTTTTAAAAAACTCTATTTCTATTAAAAAGTAAGAAAAGATATTTTTGTTTACCTACCATAAAATACACAAAACAGAATAGTAATACATGTAACTCATTAATATTATTAAAAAAAACCGTCCTGCTACAAGTCTAAAATATTATCAAGCTGTCGAAAGTGAGAATGAATACTGATAAACTATTCTAAAATCTTTTCCCAATATACAAAGTTTAAATTCAATAATTTGCTTTACTGTATTAATCTTTTGTATTCAGTTATGTAATTATAGTGAATTTCTAATATAAAATTCCGCAACAAACTCTGTTAAACATTAGAAACTAGATGGCACTACTAGTATATTCATAAAGCTCCGCAAATTGTTTAAGGATAAGTTAAATTATTTTTTATGCAAAAAAAAAATATTTTCTTTTTGTAGTCGTGTGTCGTGTAATAAATTAAAAGTAGCATAAAATATATACAAAAAATTAAAGAAAAATCTTGCAGGCGGTGCCTGCACTTAATATGTCGTAGAAGTAATTTTTTTTAATTCACATTCGCATACAATAGATAGATCAAGGCATAGATCTAAAAGTCATTATACGTTAGACAATTAAGTAAGGTGGTGCCATGTGAAGCAGGCGTGGTTATGGGAGTGGTGTCCGTCATGGTACGTGAACACTCAATGGTGTTGGAAACGAGTAACGTACGACGTGTATGTATGAATGTATTCCAATTATAAATTTTAAATTTCGAGTAGTATATATTACAATTAAAAAAAAAATATTTTAAAGACATTTCAAAAATGGTATTTGTTATTATAATGCCATTTTATTAAATTTAGAATATTCATACTCTACTTTACTAAATTTCTATATTATTATTATAATCTTAATTTTTAAATTTTGAATTTCGAATTCTGACTCTATTTCAAAAATATAGATAACGTTTTGAATAAAGAACATTTAAAAAGTTGTGAAAATGTTATTCATAAATTATATTTATGAATATTTATATACTTTATCGCTTTATATTGTGTTGTTCTTTGTGTAATTGTTCTATACAATAATTGTAAATACGCTAGTAATATTTCTTGATTCTCGTCCGATTATAGAGGGCGTTATTAAAATAGATGTCGCTCTGAATTGTATTCAATAGTAAGTACGTTTTATATTTATGATATTAGAATTTATTTAAGAATATTAGGTAGGATCTTTTAATTGTAATATAGAATTACAAGAATAATTTAGAATTATTTATGTAGACATATTCCATACACATTCAATGCAAATTTATTGTTACCGAGTACTTACGTAACTACGGTTTTTACATACTTTCGTAAGTTTCAGGAATTGTAATTTATCAAATAAATATTACAATTTAAAATTATAAATGTAAGTTTATGGAGATTTTTTTAAATTTATATTATAGTATTGGATCTTTATTCTATATCTATTTTTTGTTATTACTTTAAATATCTAAGAATATACAACATAAATATTTATTTTAAAATACATAACTAAGTAGATATTTAGGATGATATTTTTAATTAATATACATGTATATTTTTTAGGTTCTACTTGATTACAATTAAATCATAGACAAAACAACAAAATATGACATCTTCCGGTCGGTAGCGGCGAAATGTTGCCAAATCTCGTCGCGTGGAAAGGGTTGTTAGGAAAACTGGAAATATTGTGTGCAGTATATATAGACACTAAACTCAGAACGTTGATAGATATTAATAGTAGCTGCTCGTAAAAGAAACTTTATATTAGAGAAATTAGCTACATTAATTTTAATACACGTATCATTGAAATTAGAAAGAAAATCATACACGTAATTTTTTTTAAATTATGTAGCAGTATGCAGTTATAAAAAATACATAGGATGGTATGTGTAAATCTATACGAAATCTAATATAACACAGCTTATCATTGATATTATATGCTTCTCTTTAAATATGATTTAATATGAGAAAAAATAGTATGTATATCTTAATTCCTATATCATTGAAATTACACAGAAAATTGTCCGCAACAATTTTTTAAATTTAATTGTAGATGTCAACAAGCCTTTGGCCTACATAATGGTAAGTGATAACTATAAAAACTTTTACATAACACAGTTTATAAAGCGAACTGTTTAACTGGTAGAAATGGGTGAGACTGTAGTACTTACGCAATCCACTTATATTTTTTTCCAAGTGATTCGTAATTTTTCTTAATCAAATTTACATAAGTTTAATTTTGTTGCAATCATTTGTAGCGAAATAAAATCAAGTTTATTATTATAATTAATACTAAGGAGAAGAGATTATTATTATTATTATTATTGATATCAGTCCACGCATCATCAATCAAGCAATCAATACTCAATATCAATTCAATCGAACAATTTACAAATATATATTACTTAATAAGTCTAATTACAGCTGTTGCTGGCAGTTTGTCCACCATTGTTTTTATAAATATTGTATCTTGGGAACTGAGTGTTTTCTATGTATTACGATTATGTATGTATTTAAAAAATGTCTAAAACTCTGTCAGTTATCTATAATGCAAGTTCTGCTTAGCTTGGGACTGAATGGCGGTGTGTGAATCATCCAGGGTTGTTATTATTGTTATTACATGCAACAAGACATGTAACATAAGGGTGCTGCTTGTGGGGTCTGGTCTGTTCTGGTTACGGACACTTGACAAAATTGCAATAGCATATGCTGGATGCCACTCTATAATCCCAAATTTTTATTTAAAAGTACATCGCTATTTTTCTAATACAAGCTCATTTGAAAATAATAAGTGCTGAATTTCTTGTCTGAACTGATAATAGATTTTGACATATTATAAGAGTCTGTAATAGATCTACACGAATAAAGATATTTTGATTTAGATTTTAATATTATTTTGATATCTCTATTCATTTTTATATTATTTTTACTGTAAAAGTTGTACCTATAAAACTATTACAGCTTTTAAAAATAAACGATTGTTGTGTTCCCTCTCCAGACACAGTAGCTTTTTGAATCTATCCTAGTTTAAAATGAACCACTTTTAGCAAATCGAAATTGCATTGCTAAGAAGAAATTAAATGCGTGCATAAAGGGACTTAATAAGGAATTCTCACATTCATTTAAAAAAACACACAAATGCATCACACTATCTAGAAGCCATGGCTTTATCTATGATCTTGTCTATTCTCATAGATTACAAAGCAACCCTTTCAAATAGCGACATGTAAAAACACCGAACCGGTTTCCCAACCATTTGTTTTATTCACACGACACAGAGAGAAAAAAATCTGCAGATTATTAGTACTTTTGTGA